GGGGTGTGAGATGGATGGACATGGTTCCTGGGATGAATAGACAAGAGGATGGGGATAAACGAGGATGGGGCAAGTGGAGATACACGATCAGGGAAGAGGGGATAGTTGTAGAGGGTGGTGGTGCCAGGTGGGGGATAGGAAGTCGGAGTGGGGAGTGGTGGTGCACGGAGCGAAGTGGTGATTACGTAGAAATCATAGAGGCGGGGATGGGGTGGGGGGAAGGAATACCTGGAGAGTGGGATGCTGCCGGGTGGGGGAAAGCGTTGCAGGAAGGCGGAGAGGAAGTGCGTGGCGTTGTGGCGCTCCACAAACATGACCGCGTTGGGCCCCGCGTCAAATGTGTACGCTGCCTGCCGTTGGGGAGAGGAGAGGAGCAAAGAGCAGAGCGCGGAATGATGAGATGGGTGCTTCACAGAAACGAAACCACTGGGTCGAGTTTGAGGCGCCTCAAAAGTCGAGACCAGATTGCTATGCTGCCTGGTGTGGTGGGTGCAGAGGAAGAGTGAGGTGTTGGTTTGCGGGGAGGAGCAGAGACACTAAGTACTTGGCAGAACAAGTGAGCAGCACTTGCCCCCCTTCACTCTGCTGATTCCCTTCACAACGCCCATCCTCAAGCCCCCTGCACCCCTTCTCCACCCACCTGCAACCCTCTTCAACCCCCTGCAACCCCTCTTCAACCCCCTGCATCCCTCTCCACCGTCGCCACTTCACTGTTCCCCCTGCACCCCCTGCTGCTCTGCCTGAGCATTGAAGTCCTCCACGAAGCCAATCACGCGACGCAACGTGGTGCTGAGATGGAAGGTGGCAAATGCGTGCATGCAATCACCCACTCACCCACTCACGCTTGCATCTTCCCCACACTCACATGTTGCCAGCACTCACCCACCCGCTCACCCTTACCCCTCGACCCCCTCGCACCGTACCAATTGACCCCCCTCCATCCCCCCCTGTGCACCCTTGGCTGCTCTGCCCGTGCGTTGCACTCCTCCACGAAGCCAATCACGCGGCGAGACATGGCGTTGCCAGTCGCGACACTCATCCACTGAGCTCACTCTTACCCCTCGCACAGTACCCATTCACCCCTCTGCATCCGTCTGCATCCCCCCTGTGCACGCACCCTGGGCTGCTCCCCAGCATTGCACTCCTCCGTTGAAGCCGATCACACGGTGCGACATGGAGTTGAGATAGAGGATTGCAAGTGCACAAATTCAGGTTCTCACCTCATTCACCCTTACCCTTACATCCCCCCTGCACCCTCCTGCACACCCTTGCACGCACCCTCGGCTGCTCTCCCTGTGCGTTGAACTCCTCCACGAAGCCAATCACACAGCCCGGCGTTGCACCCCCCTGCACCCACCCTCCATCACCCTCCACCCCCTGCACCCAACCTCCATCACCCCCCACCCCCCTGCACCCAACCTTCATCACCCTCCACCCCCCTGCACCCCTCTGCACGCACCCTTGGCTGCTCCCCCTGCGCATTAAACTCCTCCACGAAGCCAATCACGCGGCGCGACGTGGCATTGAGGTAGAAGATGGGCGGCGCCGTGTCGAGGCACGTGGCGTGGAACTGGTTGCTGTCCGCACAGGTCAGCCGTGCAAATGAGGGGAAGTCGCGCGCTGCTATGGCTGCCTCCATTGCTGTGATTCGCTCTGGTACCACATGCTGTAGGGAGGGAGGGAAAGGGAGAGAGGGAAGGGCAAGGGGAAGGAGGCTGGAAGAATGAAGGCGTGGCATGGAATTGGTTGCTGTTGGCACAGGTCAGGCGGGCAAATGAGGGGAAGTCGCGAGCAGCTATGGCTGCCTCCATTGCTGTGATTCGCTCTGGTACCACATGCTGGGTGAGGGGCAAGTGGGGTGGGGAAAGAAGGGGCAGGGAGGCACGTCAAGGGGCAGGGAGGCACGTCAAGGGGGCAAAGGCACGTCAAGGGGGGAGGCACGTCAAGGGGGCAAAGGCACGTCAAGGGGCAAAGGCCCAGAAGTTGCAGGGTGCTATGGCTGCCTGCATTTCCTAAATGAATGAAAGTACGAATGAAGGCAAGGCCAGGCCGTGAAACTGGTTGCTGTCCACGCAGGGCAGGCGGGCAAATGCTGCAAAATCCCAGGCTGCAATGGCTGCCTGCATTGCTGTGCACTCAGCAGCACTCGGACCAAACACGTGCGCCCGTCACGCGGGGGCCCCCCATGGGTTTCTGCTTTCATCCGACCCCCACCCGTGGCCTTCAGTTTACCCCCACCATCCGCCCCGTGGCTGCAGCAGCTTGGAGGTCTGGGCGGACCGTTATATGCCCTCCCCACCCCATCCAAGTTCTTCGTTTGCCCCACCCTTGCTCGTCAACTGCTCCCACCCACCCGTGCTCTTCATTTGCCCCTCACCTCAGCGCGCAGCTGCAGCAGCTTGGAGGTCTGGGCGGACCGTTTCATGCCCTCGCTGCTGCCAATGTCCTTCTCCCTCTCCTCCACCTGTGCATGTGGGAGATGCAGGAGAGGAGGGGGGAGAGGGGGGGTACAGGAGGGGAGGAGGGGGGTGCGGGAAAAGGGGCTGCCAGTTGACCCCTCAACTGCAGCAGCTTGGAGGTCTGGGCAGACCGTTTCATGCCCTCGCTGCTGCTGCCAATGTTCCCTCTCCTCCACCTGTGCATGTGGGAACAGGAGGAGGGGGAAGGGGAAAAGGGGGAGGGGGAAGGTCAGGGCAACAGCTGAGCGCAGAGGCAGAGCATCAAAGTACAACAACGTGGAAAGCAAAGCGCAGGAGAGGGACCGTAGAGCACATCGGCCCTACCATTCCACCACCATTTTTCACCTGCACAGTGGCGCTACACTCTCCCTCGCCTCTCACCACACCAATAACAGTGACCAGATCGCTCCAGTGGTCTATGGTCCTGTGCCTTGAGAGCACTCTCCGCCTTTTAGAGGCGACCCTTCGAGCACCTTTTTCGAGTCAACTCGCTACATTTTCCGCCTCTCCGCCTCCGGGAACTTTTTTGAGTCGACTTTTCGAGGCGACTCCGAGCACGTTTTCGAGCTCGCTAAATTTTCAAGTCGACTCACAACAGACAGACATGCCCCTCCGTCACACCCCTTCCCCCCTCCCCCTAGTGGTGTACCCCTCCCCACTCACCACTGCAATGATGATGACCAGGTCGCTCCAGTGGTCCTCTGCCTTGACTTGCCGCGCCATGCTGTCGCTCCCGTCTTCTAGCTGGCGGTGGGAGAGGAGAGGAGACGCACACACACGAGGCATGAGGCTATGAGGCATGAGGCATGAGGCATGAGGCATGCGGCATGAGGCATGCGGCATGAGCATGCGGCATGAGGCACAATGGAATCGAAAGAGATGCTGATTGCCAGGTATTCTACACGTTTTGCACTTCTGAGAACTCGCAAAAGTGAGCCTGGTTTTCAAATGACTGAACACAATGCCAGATCCTCAAACTTAATCCAACACAGTGCAAGATATTGTGAACTATTTCCACCACTATGAGCCAACTCTGGTTTGGGAGCGGCCATGGCTGCAGGTGGCGATACGTGTGAAACGGGAATGGAGGAAACGAGGGAGAGGGAGGCAGGGGATGGAATGAGAAAGATTAGGGGAGCAGCGTAAGGAGGCGGAGTACGGTGGTGTGGGTGAGGTCAAGCAAACCCGGCACGCTTTCACCCAGAGGACAGCTTCACCTCACCTCGCCCTCATCATCCCCATCTCCCATGATTGTCTTACCTCGCCCTTGTCCCACGTGACAAATCCGCCGTACAGGCTCCTGCACGCGCTGCCAGATCCCATCCTGGTGGCATTCGGAGGAGGGAGGACGGGGAGGGGGACGGGAGGAATGGGAAGGTGGGAGCAATGGCGTTTACATAAGGTATGGGCCAATCACACAATTTGTGCAATGCATGAGAAACCCAGTTTAGGCACACGTGGGCTGCGATCCCCCATGAGCAGATTTGTTTGCAAGGTGCTTAAAACACACGAGCAGCATTTGCTGTAACGAGGCCTCCTTTCCACCAAGCGGCACTCTAACGAGGCCTATGATTAAAAACTGCGTGCCAATGCTTCTCCTGTCAGCCCGTCAATGCTCCTGCCGTACCTGCCATGGCTCCTGCCGTACCTGGCAACTCATCTGCCGTACCTGGCAACTCATCTGCCGTACCTGGCAACTCATCTGCCGTACCTGGCGATGGCTGAGAGCTCCCCCGGGTATGCCTCCTTCACTCCCATGAGCTCTGCCAGGGCGAACACTGTGACGCATGCATGCATGCACGCACACACAGGCAATGCAGGATGGCACATGGGGCACAGCCGCACAGGGCATGGAGCATGGGGCAGGCACAAGGGATGTGAGGGCGGAGCAAAGGAGGACAGCATGGCATGGCAGGACGGGGGTGATCACGGAGCAATACTTTTGCAAGTGGGGTGGGGCGCATCCAGAGAATTGGACACAGCATGCATACATGCAAGCCGAATCTCCTCTTGCCAAACCTCGCTCCCCAATCTCCACTTCACTCTCGAATCCCTCGCCGCGTCTCAAATCCCACTCTTCAAAGTTCAAACGCCAACTTCCCAACTCAATCCAGCATCCCAATCTCCCGATCCCAAACCCTCCTCCCCAAACCCCAACCCTCAAACCAGTTTCGAAGTTTAAAAGTTCCAACATCCAACCTTTTGCGAACATCGAAACTGCAACCACATCCTGTCTTCCTCACTGATAAGTGGCGCTCCAGTCCCTGTACGTATCCCAAAACTCCCAACTAAAACCCCGAACCCCGACCCCCAAACCCTACTCCATCAACTTTGTCCCACCCAGCAGCAGCATTGGCGACATCAGGAGGAGTTTAGAAGGGGGAAGGAAGGGAGGAAGGGAGGAAGAAACAAGAGACTCACCGAGGCATGCAAAGCCAGCAGCGGAGGAGGCGAGGCCTAGCAGCGGTGGGGAAGTTGTTAGCCGACACCACGTGCACCCGCAGCTGCTGCCACTGCCCCGCTCCTATCTCCACCTCCTCCTGCTAGCCCCCTCCCTGCCCGCCCTGCTGTGTGGTCCCTGGAGCGGGCAGGCGCCAGTGCGTGGAGGAGGCGCGTGCACGCAGGGCAGCCAGGCAGTTGCTGTAGCGGTGGCTGCTCATCGCCACCTCCTGATGCCGTGGCGAGTGGGGTATGGGGGAGTGAGTGGGAAACTGTTGAGTCTTGAGTCGACAAACAGTCTGTCACCTTGTTCTGGGTCGACTCAGAAGCAGTTGCCGTAGCGGTGGCTGCTCATCGCCACCTCCTGATGCCGGGGCGAGTGGGTATGGGGGAGTGTTGGGGTATTGTTGAGTTTTTGGTCTGACTCAACAGCCACCTCGAACCGGCCAGACTCAATGCAATGCATATTGCACAGGAATGCAATTCAGTGCAAAGGATGCTGCATTGGAGCGCGTGTTGTGGCATGTTGTCAGTGTGCTGCAACGTTCAGATGATTATCGGGTTCAGGGTTCGCACCCGGTGGTTATCACACTAGCCACATCAGGTGGTTATCACCCAGCCACATCAGGTGGTTACCACACCAGCCACATTGCCAGTTGCGTTATCAGGTATGCTACAGCATCAGCCTACCAGGTACGACCTGTACGGGAACGCACCTTGCCATGAACAGGTACGACCTGTACGGGAACGCACCTTGCCATGAACAGGTACGACCTGCACGGAACGCACCTTGCCATGAACAGGTACGACCTGCACGGAACGCACCTTGCCGTTGAGCCAGAGCCGGTCCGCAGTGAACGACGGGCTGACGGCGACGGTGGTTTCGGCGGCTAGCTGGTCCACGTGGAGCGTCACGCTCACGCTGCCATTAAGCGGCAGCACAAGCGCCTCGTCGCGCTTTCCCCAGTACTTAATCACCGCGATGTTGCTCGGCGCGCGCGCCGTCACTCCCACCACCCACGGCGCCGCCTCGCACGGCGCTTCGGCGGACGACGACATGACGCTGCTGACGCTGACGCTCTCGTTTATGTCACGCGGGCTACACAGTCACAGTTGAGGACTCGCTGTAGTCACTTTTTGCAGCTCAACACAGTCACGGCTACTTTGTAAACAAAGAAAAAGGGGAGCCGAAGCCCGCGAATGGAGTTAAGCGTCAGAATGCAATGATAATGCTGCGATAATCCCTAACGATAATAATGAGCCGCTCTGCAACGAAGAATTGGAGACTAATGGAACTTGGCTCGTAGCGACGGTCGGCTCAGATCACTGATCTGTCTGACTAACGATAACAAGCAGTGGTGGTGTCGATAAAATAATGCGGTGACACGTCAATCCCTCCTACGCAGCCAAGAGCTTAATTCAGAAACAGCGCGAGACGCGACTGAAGGTAGCTCGATCAGCAAAACGAAACTCTGAATTGAAGAGAGATGAATTTCAATTTAGTTCTCATGAAAAAATGCTCGAGAACTCACTCGCAAGGATCGCGATGCGTGGCACTCGGTGCGACGAGCCTGGCTGATTCTCATCCTCATCCGCGCACTACACACGCGAGAGCTCTCCCGGTCCACATGTTTCAGCGAACAACGCGGTGGGAACCGGCAAGCTAGGCGACAGAAGGAGCAACAACAGCCGCAATAGCTAGCAACGGTTGTCACCGACGAGCGTACCTAGGGAATTCAGCGGCCAGACCAGTCGTGAACTGGAAGAGACGAGAAAATGGGAGAAATGGCTCTGGCTGTGGTTGGGATGGGAGCATCAAACATTGCAACGAAGTAAACCCGAACGGTTTTTTGCGAGAGTAAACTCGATTGCGACGAAGAAGCGCGTGCAGTCCAGTCAAATGTGTAGTGTCGGTTGCTGTGTTTCCTTCCTCCCACCGAAGCCAACCGAATCGAGAGAATTTCTCCAGTGGCCAATCGGGTGATTCGTCCTCTCTCGGGGGGCCTCGATTTACTCGAGTGGCCACGAAATTGGGTGATAATTACTCGAGTGGCCACGCCAGGGGATTCTGCTCGCTTTTTTTTTCACCGGCGAATTACCCTACGGGGATTTGTAGCCCTGAAATTCCTTATTCGTGCGAGTGGTATCCCTAGGTAGTGTTCCGTTCTGTTCCGCAACTTAAAATTTCGCCAGGCTCACGGACGCGAAAGTGGCCCGCCCACTGTACAAGAAACCGACCAACAGTACATTGACCGGTCAATTTCGGCCAAATGCACGACCAATGAGCGCGCGGTCCATCTAGTTAACATCCAATCAGCGATCGAGCATATGACTTCGCGATCATATACTGCATTTCACCCGAACGAACCGAAACAGCAAAACGACCGCGCTCGATTGGTCAGGAGATTGAGTGGTGCATTTGTTGCCACTGCGCGTCTAATCAGGCGCAAGATTTACGGATTGCCGATCATATTTGAACGCGTTCATTAAACACAATTTACTATATGATCGCGCCAATCATATACTAAATAGTCTCGCACAAAAGGTTCGAATGAACGCGCTCAAACTGGTTTGGTATGCCCTTTTCAACTTCCCGCGCTTTATCATTTGATCCATATGCTACAGATTGCTCACAACCATTTCCTCTCGTCGTTTTAGGGTTCACATCCACCTTAGCCCTTGATTAGACCAGTTAGGTCCTTAAAGGAGGTTCATCTGGGAGGTCCTACGGTTAGAACATTCATATTAACCGCAATGAGTTCGACGTCTTATACTTGTAACACAGAGTCCGACTCAGGCAATAAGGACACAGAGTTTTGCTTCGTTGGAACCGGAGAGCCCAAACAAAGTGATATGTACCGTGCGTTGCTGCGGGAAATGGTCGTCGACGATGAGAAAAGTTGAACGAGAATGCATGAACTATGAATGAAGTGGGTACAAGTACTAACCCTAATTGGGTTGTACCCCCTATAGAATACCCCACTACAGCCTACACAAATGTATAAGCTATATAATGTTCTGACACACCCCCATAGGCAAAGTGGGGGAGAACAAGGGGTCACAAGACCAGTCAAGCAAAGCAAAGCAAAGCAAGCTCAGGGTGGATCACAAAGTCACCACACAGTCCGAGCACAAGGTCAAAGCCACAAGGCCAGTTCACATGCATGAGTGCACATATATATAACACTAAACAAGCAAGAGTAGGTATATATATATATGCAAGAGTACAAGAAGATCAAGAGGTGAGCAAGTTAGGTAAGACAGGTACAAGTCCCAGCTGAGTGCAGAAGCGCTGATGATCACAACGCGGAAGTGCCTTGGTGAAAACATCAGCAGTGTTGGCCTCAGAGGCCACGTACGCAAGTCGCAACTGACCACGCTGCTGCAGCTCACGAGCAAGAAAGTAGCGGACAGCAATGTGCTTCGTTCTGTGCTCCAGGCGCTCCTCTCGACACAAGGCCAGCATGGCCTTGTTGTCTACGTACAGCACTGGAGGAGAACGAGGCGGCTCTCCAAGGTCAGTCAGCAGGTAGGTGAGCCAGCGAAGCTCCTGAGCAGCCATGGCCCCGGCGTAGATCTCAGCCTCACAACTGGAGCCGAGAACAGAAGACGAGCGAGTAGCCCGCCACGAAACAGAGCCGGAACCAAGACTGAAGGTGTAACCCTGTGACGACCGCTGAGTAGCCTGGTCGTCAGCCCAAGAAGCGTCCGCGGTGCCCAGTGAGGACCACTGGACTCCGCCCTCCAAGCACTAGCCCCATGCCCGACGTACTGCACAGGTACCGCAACACCCTCTTCGCTGCAGCCATGTGCTCTGGTCGGTGTCTCCTAGGAGCAACATAGCGTGCAAGAATGCTAAGAGGGTATGCAAGGTCAGGTCGTGTGCAGGTCATCAGGTACATGAGGCAGCCAACAAGCTCTGGGTACGGGCCACTCGACTCTACGGACTCATCCGAAGGCAGAGCTGAGAGCGAGTGGCGAGTAGACAGAGGAGTGGCCTGAGGCGAGGAGTACGTGAAGCCGAAGCGCTGAAGGACCTGCAGCACCATGTGTGACTGAGTCAAGGTAATGGTGCGTCGTGCTCTGTCCCGAGTGACTGCAAGCCAAGGTAGCTGCGCAGTTCACCCAGGTCTGTGCACGTGTGTCTCTTCTGCAGCTCAGACTTCACGTAGGCGAGTCCAGCAGTGTCCCGCTGTGGCAAAGACCAAGTCGTCAACGTACACGAGGATGTAGAACGGCGGCAGAGAAGTGTCGGTGCGCAGAAACAACGACGGGTCAGCAGTAGAGGGAGCAAACCCAAGAGCCGCAAGCGTAGTCCTCAGTGTGTCGTGCCACTCACGCGGTGCCTGGCGGAGACCGTAGACTGGCCGTCGGAGGCTCCACTGGGTGCCAGGAGGGAAAGTCCCAGTGAAGCCAGGTGGACGGCGCAGCCAGATCTCCTCGTGCAGGCTACCCTGCAAGAAAGCAGTGCTGAAGTCAAGAGAGTGGAGCTCGTAGTCGCGCTGAGCGGCTATGTGCAGCAGCACCCGAAGAGTGGTCATCTTCGGGGTGGGAGAGAAGGTCTGAAAGTAGTCAACTCCTTGCCGCTGACTGAAGCCACGAGCCACGTACCGCGCCTTGAAGACAGGTGGAGAGCCCGGCGGCCGCTTCACCTTGAAGATCCACATGCCACTGACGATGTTCGCCCCAGGAGGGGGAACCGCGTCAACGTAGGTGCCTGTGGACTTCCAGGAAGCCATCTCTGCATCCATAGCTGCCTGCCACTGAGAGGAGTAGGGACCCTCTACGGCCTCCGCGTAAGAGCGCGGAGTCGGGATGTCCAGTGCATCCGGGTCTCCCACAGGGGCAAGTACTACGGACGCGAGATGAGGTGAAGCAGCAGCCAGACACTGGAAACTCCTCCTGCCTCTCCTCAAGGACGTCCGTGCTAAGAGCACACTCACCCCCGACGGACGGAGGACAGACAGACACAGACTCAGCAACAAGACTGGCAGCGTAGTCTAGACGACAGCGAGCAGCAAAGGCGACGAGCTCAGCAACAAGCGCAGACGCAGCAGTGGACTCAAAAGAGGGGTCAGTGACGACAGTAGCAAGGAGACGCATGACAGTAGGACTGGCAGCACGAAGAGAGTCCGACTCAGGGTCGGCAAGCGCAGGAAGAGAGGACTCAGGAGGAGAGGGCAAAGGGGCACGCAGAGGAGCAGTGGACGGACGCAGAGACATCCGGTGCGTGCCAGGGACAGGAGGAGGACGCTGACGCGAACTGCGACCACTAGTGCGAGCAGCACGAACAGGCGACGCAGGACGGGACGCGGGCTCACGACGCTCAGCAAGACCTCTAGTAGGACCAGTGTACGGAGAAGGAGAAGGCAGTGGGGAGGCCGGCGGTAACTGTGACTGTGACTGGACTGGCGGCGGACACTCTACAGGAGGAGAAAGACCAAGAACCTGCTGCAGGAGCGGAACGAAGTACGGCCGAGGCCGCGCGGCAACTCTAGACACAGCAGGGACAGCACCAGCACCCTCAGCGGCAGCACTAGCGCCAACAGCACCTCCAGCGGCAGAACCTCCAGCAGCACCAGCAGCACCCGTAGTAGGACCACCGCCAGGAAGGACAGCAGCAGTCTGAGCACCAACACCCTCAGTAGCTCCAGCGCCAGGCAGAGCCGAAGAAGCTCCAGCTCCAGCAGTACGCCTCCAGCGGCGAGCAAACCACTCACGCAGCTCCTGTGGAGAGAGTGGCTCCCGCCGAGACGAAGCACCCGGAGAGCCTCCAGGCCCCGCACCGCCAGACGCCAGGGGGAGAGGTCCAGTGGCCGCAGGCTCCGCAACTCCAGGCTCAGCAGCACCCCCTGGCTTAGCAGCTCCTGACGTAGCACCCCCAGGCTCAGCAGCCCCAGTCGCAGCACCCCCAGGCTCAGCAACCCCAGTCGCAGCACCCCCAGGCTCAGCACCCCCAGGCTCAGCACCCCCAGTCGCAGTACCCCCAGAGTCAGCACCCCCAGGCTCAGCACCCGCAGCAGTACCAGAGTCACCAGCAACCTCGACCGGCTCGACTG